CACACACGCACGCACACACGCACGCACGCACGCACACGCCACACACACACACACACACACGTCACACACACACACACACACACACACACACACACACACACACATCACACACACACACACACACACACACAGCCACACACATATATATATATATATATATATATATATAATATGTAGATGTTGTTTTACACAACAAACAAATCAATACAAATTTATTACTAGCTCTCTTTGTTTTATTTTGCCAGTGTTTTCAAACTCTACCAATACCTAATGTTTTTATGACCAGTGGTAGGATCTTGTGATACTGGACATCACGTTACATCAGAAAACCTATATCTACATGTACGGTATACAATATTAATTAAAGAACCAGTATCTTACTTTATTTTGTTAATCAGAAATGAAATGGGTTTAAACACATTCAGAGAGGATTTTTGTCATTTTGATACCTAAAATCTAGTTACGACCACAGATTATTAATAAATATTAGAAATTGATTTAACAACCGTCATCTGTTAGCCCAGACTCGCATGGATATAGCCAAGGTTGTTAAGTTCTCTTATTTTCGTATTTTTGCATTGCTCTCATATAATAGAGAGTCATCAGATAGAGAGAAGTCATTTTATTGATTGTCATGTAAGAATTATTACGAATACATGCTATTACATAATGTAGAGAGGTGCGAGATTACGACGAGGTCGTTCGTGGGTTCGTGTGTGGGCGTGTGCGGACGTGCGTGCGCATGTGCGGGCGTGCGGGCGCGTGCCTGCGTGTGTGCGTGCGTGCGAGCGTATGCGCGGGCGTGCGGAGCGTGCGGGCTCGCGGTGCGCGTGCTTGCGTGCTTGCGTGTGTTGCGCAGCGTGCGGCGTGCGTGTGTGCGGGCGTGCGCTGCGGCGTTGCGGGCGTGCGTGCGGGCGTGCGGCGCGTGCGGCGTGCGGGGCGTATGGCGTCGGGCGCTGCGCGGACGTGTGTGCGGGGCGTGTGTGCGGGCGTGTGTGGGCGCGTGCGTGCGTGTTGCGGGGCGTGCGAGCGCGGCGTGCGGCGCGCGTGCGCTGTGTGCATGCGTGGCGGGGCGTGCGTATGTGCCGGGCGTGCGGGGCGTGCGTGCGTGCGTGCGGGCGTGCGGCGTGCGGGCGTGCGGACGTGCAGGGCGTGCGGGGCGTGTGCGCGAGCGTGCGGGCGTGTGCGCGGGTGTATGTGGGCGCGTGCGTGCGAGGTCGCGTGTGCGAGCGTCGCGGGCGTTTGTGCGGGTGTATGTGGGCCGTGCGTGCGGCGCGTGCGGGCGCGCGGCGTGTGTGTGTGCGGGGCGTGCGAGCGTGCGTGGGGGCGCGTGCGTGCGTGTGTGCAGGCGTGCGGGGCTGCGTATGTGCGCGTGCGTGCGGGCGTGCGGGCGTGCGTGCCGATATATTATATATATTAACAGTCATGTGCAGCGTGGAATGGCGGCCGTATTGTGTGTGCATAGAGCTTTACACAGGAATTTACAGGAAACTGTCGGCAATAATAGGTGAAAGAGAGTATAAAACATTAAACATTTTGTAGTACTAGTATTAGATTTCGTATTTATTTACCATTATATTTTATTGAAACGCTTCAAGTGCATGTGCGTTGTGTGTGCGCGCGGTGCGTGTGTGTGCGGGCGGGTGGGGCGTGTGTGCGGCGTGCGTCGTGCGGCGGCGGCGTGTGTGTGTGCGGGCGCTGCGTGCGGGCGTGTGTGTTGCGGTGCGTGCTGCGGCGTGTGTGTGCGGGCGGTGTGCTGTGCGGGTTGCGGCGTGCGTGTTGCGGCGTGCGTGGGGCGTCGCGTGTTGGCGCGCGTGCGTGCGTGTGTGTGCGGCGCTGCGCGTCGTGCGTGTGCGGCGTGTGGTGTGCGGGCGTGCGTGCGGGCGTGCGGGAGTGCGTGTGCGGCGTGCGGGCGTCCTGGCGTGTGTGCGGACGTGTGTGTGCGGGCGGGCGTGTGGTGCGCGGCGTGCGCGTGGTCGTGCGGCGTGCGGGCGTGGCTGGTGCGACTGTGTGTGGCGTGCGTGTGTGTGCGGGCGTGGGGGCGGCGTGGCGTCGTGCGTCGCTGCGGGCCCGCCGTGCGTGCGACGTGTGTGTGCGGGCGTGCGGCACGCGTGTTGTGCGGCGCGTGGTTGTTGTGATGCGGCCGGCGGGGCGTGCGCAATGACCCCGCTGTGCGGGGCGTGTGTGCGGACGTGTGTGTGCGGGCGTGCGGGCGTGTGTGAGATGGTAGAAAACAACCAATAACTTACATGATTTCTATCAAGGGTCGTCACTGCAATTCTCTTATGTGTCGTCCTGTTGGGATTCGCGCTGGATACCATTAACAAACGCCACATGAGGCTTGCCCAGAAGACTGACGGCAGTGATTCTAGTAACAATAACAAAGGTAACGATGGCAGGAAGTGCGGTACCCCGTGCAGCGAAACACTCATATCAGACAACTCATTTGCGATATGGATGGGATATGATAGATTGGTCCGTGTAATCAAATGACACTTTCGATCTGGATTGTCGCTGCTTCTATTAAAATGCAAGCCTAAACACGACAAAATTATTGTATTATTAATTACGTGTACAAAATAAATAACGTCCATACTATGTCTCTAGCGAACTTACTATTATTGTTCCATTATTAACATCATCAAACTTACTATTATTGTTCCATTATTAACATCAAAATGTCACTTGTGCAGATTCTGAGAAACCGATAGAAATGATCGAGTCACCAAAAGCAGAGTCTCAAGCAGAGGGTAGACATCTTAGCGAAAGACTTTTCGACCAGATCTGGAAAGCCAAGTTATGGCTTACTGCTTCTAAACCTGGTGCGGACTCATTACGATTCACGGTCCAGAACGCATGAACTTCAATAAAACACAGTATTTCACTTTAGTAATAATCGTACAATTCTAAAATAAGTGTAAGAATAATTATTTACATGAACGAGTGTTATATCACTACTCTGATGTGAGTGCTCGATAAGCAAATAGTTTATAGTTTTTATTTTTTTATGTTACAGGAAATATCATAGAGAAAATCCTGCTGTGTTTTTCCTGGAAAACCAATGCGAGCAAGATTTCTAACACTAAACAAAGTTCAAATAGTATCAAATGCGTGCATGGACTAAGGACGCTTAGCATGACATGGGTAATAATGGGCCACAGTTTGACCAGTGCCGTCTATAAACTAGGTAGGCATTTCTTACTCAATATTAGTATGCAGTGTACACCAAGAACGCCATTTATTAGTGTTTGTTACGTATCATATATATTGCCCGCTCTTAAGAACCGAGTATAGACTACGACCGGGCACATTCTGATTGAGACCAATAATACCAAATGCAAATAATAATTATCTATATTAAATGAGCGTTTAATATTCAAATTACTTCTGCCATGCGCATATTTCCATATTATCGCATGAAAAGGATAAACTTGGCTTCCGCATAGTTCATATTTTATAGCTGAAATTGACGCCATCAATGTTTTTGTTTTGTAGGTATTAATTAACATTATAATTATTACAATTGTATACAATTTATTACAAATAAACGTGACAATGATACCGGTTTGTGGAACTTGATAACGTCAATAAGTGCGGCTCCCTCCCGTCAAAACAACTCTTTTGCCATTGCACAGATTGTAGATCTTACGTGGTTATCTGAGATTGGGAATTTTTAATAAATGTGTGATAGGGCCACTAATAATCAGGTGTGTACGGGATTTTTATGTAGTTTGACTTATACAGCTGTAAAACGATTTTTTCAACGTTTCCCTTTTCAACTTTCAACTTTACAACTTTAACTTTTAAATCTGTGGAGTTACAGATTACAGATTACTGTTACAGATTACTGTTACAGATTACATGTGTGATAGACATTTTATTCATTTTTCTTTATCGCTGTAATATAATAGAGATAGATGTGGTGTTTGTAAGAGCATAACGGAATGTGTCATGACTGAATACACGTTCACATTTTATTCTCAATTCGAAGCAACTGATTCCTGTTTGCTAGCCAGAGTTGCTAACCCTTGTTCTAAAAAGAGTTTGTTTACTCGGCTATAGCTAGAAGTCAAATATATTAGAAATATATGTATATATATGTATAGGTGTATATGTATGTATGTATGTATGTATATATATAACGTAAACCCTCATACCATTTGTTTTATAATGACGTTGCTTCATTCATAGACAACATGTCAGTATTCCTGCGTCTCACCAAGCAATGGACCTTTTATCCAATGCTACGGGCAATCTACTCCGTCGACACTTTCTTCTGTATAAGGTACTTAATTGCGTATGAATTGTGAACTAATTTTTGACTATTGCCATTTAATGTGTCATGGCGGCCATTGCTTACATTAGTCGCTTAACCGACGTCATCAAAATATATTTCGATCCACGTTTTTGTTACTAAAGCATGCTATATGTCACTGGTACACACAGATGTCACAGACACAATTTAAAGATGCAGTGTTACTGTCATAGTTGTTAAATGTCGGTCTATTCTTCCACATTAAAACTGCGCTTTGCCATTGCGTTCTAGTGGAATTTTGGTAGTCTATGGAGCATTGGCTAAGCTAGAATCTACACGCAACACCAACAAGCCAGCTGCTAAAAGCCCAAAATTTTGGCTGTACTACTACTACCATAGGTTTTCCAGGTACTGTATACGCGAGCAAAAGGATGCTTTTAATTTCTATGAGAAGCTATTGCTTATTTATTTTCTTCGGTCGATATTGGTTTATATTGTGATATTTTTCGCGCCCATATAACAAAAATATAATATAATATAATACAATACAATATAATATAATTTAATTTAATACGTAATATGATATAATGTTCGTTTGATATATAACTGACGGATTTCTCTCTCAAACGAGACTAATTTTTTAACGAGAATGCTGGATTTTGCTGCCTGGATAATATGCCTGATATATGCCTGGATATTGTGCCTGGAGTTTGCTGCCGTTGTGAAGTACTCTACAGCGCACGTACGACATACGCGCATACGACAGACTTCATTTTCGCGACAGCCGCCGCGCACGTGACCCCGCGCAGAACGGCATGGTCCTACCTGCCGCCATTATTAATTTGGTCAGTAAAGACCACGGGTTACCTGTGATAATTGCTCCATGTGACTTCATACGAGAATTGAATGGAAATATTTGGTATGGTTTATGGATGAGATGAGGAGACAGCGAGAACTATACATATCACGTGGCGTTCATAAGACGATGGATGTGGGTACGTTTGATATGAATTAAATTAATCTTGAGACAGCGAGGTGCGCGGGGTGTTCGCGTGGCATTATTAGTATATTACTCGTAACATATACCAAGTGAAAGCGAGTGAACCAACCAAGTGAAAGCGAACCAAGTGAACCAAGTGAACCATACCTACCAACCAAGTGAAAGCGAGGACCAGGACGTTCAGTCTACGTGAGGCTTTCTACGCGGAATAAATAGATGGATTCCGTGTGGAATAAATCAAGGTAGGCCTATGGACAGTTTACATTCGTTAACAACATAATGTGCGCTCGTTCGACATGAAAGATTAAATTGGTATCATCATATGGTGTCTATGGTATCATCTGTGTATGTCCATACACAGTGCGCAGTCTATCAGCTAGCTTTTGACCACTTACCTATGTTGTTTTGTTAGATGTAAATGATTATTCTATATTGTATGCAGATGACACATGTAAATCTTTAAGATACATGTTTATCTGTAAATTACATCCAAGTGTTTTCACATTTTGACATTATAAAATTAATGCATAGGCCTAGGCCTACCTACATTTTATTATATTACATTCCATCCCTTTAATTACTACTTCAATACTTTACTACGATGTGTTATTGCATGG